CTGATGGTGAAGACAAAATGACGCATGCTGAAGATGAAGTGGTCAAACCTGATGGTGAAAACAAAATGACGCATGCTGAAGATGAAGTGGTCAAATCCGACGGCGTGGGTGTGTTTGGATGGGATGTGGGGACAGCAGTTGCAAAGACTGATACCGAGAGTACACGTATTGGCGTTGGAGCCCCAATTGACGTAGGAACCGCGGTTGAAGTTGTGACCACGGTTGATATTGGAACGCCAGTTGACGCTAGAACCACGGTTGGTGTAGATAGGAGTACTGCCGGAACAATGACGGGGCGGACCGGAGAGCGACCTAAGTTATATTACTTAGATTCTGGTCCTCGACAGGTGAAGCGTTCTCGTTCGGAGTCTATTCGTGATTTCATTTTCTCGTTGAGGAAGTCTCCGTCTAAGTCGACTGGGCGTATGTCAACTGGAGTGGAGCAAAGTCCATGTTTTCGTATCGCCTCCAGTGAAGGAAGAAAAGCGCGACGTGGGGATACGGCGTTGGGTGCGAAGAGTTGCGTCGTTCGCAGCCGTAAGACGCAAACTGAGACTCCCGTAAAACCCGTAGCGAAGCCGTATGTGTCGCGAAAGAAGAGGCCTGCTAGTCGATCGACCGGTCGTAGTGGAAGCAGGTCGTCGAGTTTGTACGTTCCGTCGGCCAAGGATTTACCTCGACCTGCGGCCTCGAGCTGCTTCGACACAAGCTGGTTCGACTCCAGCTGTTTCGTCGCCAAGCCCCCGGCGACGGGTGTCCAGACGAGGCGTTCTGGATCTGAGTCCAGCGAGTCTTTGAGACTTCCTCCGCCCGCGTCCATTTTCACGAGTCTCTCGCGTAACACCAGCACCACCTTCGGCGAGCTGGTCGGACATGGTGACCGAAGTGACTCAGACGCCCTAACTGGCTCCGACGCCCAGGGTGGCTCCGAAGCTGAGCCGCTCCGGGCTTCCGAGAACGACTCAGCGGTTCCGCACACGCGTGTGCGGAAACATCCGAGACGATCGAAAGACGGTTTTGGACCGAAAGACGGTTTTGGACCGAAAGATAGCACGACCGAATACAAGTCGCTCGCAGGCACTCAGACCATCCCTAGTCAATTGCTCCCGCTCAAGTCTCTGGGCTCGTGGTTAGCTTCCGATAACGACACACCTAACTTCACTAAAAGGAGCCACCGCGGCTCAGCACGGTCCAGCCGCAAGCACCGCAGAAGAAACGACCAGGCCAACATGCGCGGCAACGCAGCTGCCGAGACGACCGAGGCTCGTAGGATCCGTCTAGTAAAAACTCCCGTGACAGCAAAGGGCAGACCCGGGCATGACGAAACTCGGCACGATGGACTTAGGCGTGATGGAGTTAGGCGTGATGGAGTTAGGCATGATGGGCCCAGGTTGAGAGGGGGTGTGCAATTTAGTGAAGGGGTAACGGAAGTGGTTTTGAGTTCGTACAACGACTCCGAAGATGGAAGCCACTTTGTGGCTGTTCGGGAACGTGACCGTGTTGGGCGGGAACGTTGGGCATCATCGCGGTCAAGGGCTGCCCATACTCGTCGACGGTCTTCGGAGCAGCAGCATCTTTACAGAAAGAACGGATCCGACGACCGGTTCCGGGAGCGTCGTTATTTCAAGGACGAGGTTGGGTACGTTGGGAAGTACGGTAACGGCGGGAATGAGCCGCGTGGTCCTTTCGACACGAATGAGCTTTGTGGAGAAAAGATCCGTCGGGGCCGCCGGCGTCGCGGAGAACATTCTACCATGGGAGAACATTCTACCATGGGGGTGGCGACGACCCGTGCCGTAATCGCTGGCCCGGAGCAAAGCAAGGAGCGAGCAACGAAGGGGGTGCAGCTAGATTCGGCGGATTTACGGGGGTCCAGCATCTGTGTCCCCACCCGTCGGCGTCGGGCGGTAGCACAGACGGTTGAGGTGCAGTACATTGAACGCCTGGATTCAAACCATGCGAGCGAGGACGATTCGGGATCCGAGTATACCTCGGACAGCACCCCCGCCCAATCCCTCATGTCCGTTGACACCGTCTCACAACACTCTGGTCCGGAGTTCGACGACCGACTTTCTCCGCCGCCAAAACCGCAGCAGGTAAAGAGAATTCGCATAACGCCACAACCACCGACGACTCAAGCCCAACTACCCAATCAGGTCACCCGTGGTGTCGCTGCAGCCGGTCCTGGGTTCGACGTAACACGCATCGGACCCCACACCAAATCGCTCGCAAGTGCCATGATCGTAGGTGATTCGGGATTGCCTTCCCGGTTGAGAAGTGCCACAACCAGCGCACAAGCCACCACCACAAGTGCAGAGATCGCGACCAATACGGGGGAGTCCGAACCCGCAGTGGTGCGGGAGGTTCAAGATTCAAAGCACAAGACGGCGAAACCAGAGGTTACGGGAATGACCAAAACTAGAGCACCTCTACCCCAGTGCATCCTCACAGTAAATCTGGAAGAAGCTGATCACGACTTGCCCAGTCCCAAGATGGTCAGTCGTGTAGACCAGTGGCTCCTCAGCGAAGGGTCCGTATCCGGCTATCAAGACAGCCCTAGGGTACTTTCAGGCTCTGGTACCCACACAGAGGATACGTACACCGAAAACACTGTGAGCGACGAACCGGCTGTAAAGCAAGATGACTTCGCCACTGGGGACTTCATTACTCCGGACCTGAGTACTTCGGACTTCAGTACTCCGGACTTGAGTACCCAGCACTTTACTGGTCAGAACTTTATGGATGGCTTGCCTCAAGACAGAGGCGCCTTGAAGAGCGAGCGTACGAAACTAAGTCGGGCTCAGGACGGAAGAGTGCCGGGACCTAGGTCGGGACCTAGGCCGGGACCTAGGTCGGGACCTAGGCCGGGACCTAGGTCGGGACCTAGGCCGGGACCTAGGCCGGGACCTAGGTCGGGACCTAGGTCGAAGGGTTACAAGGTCCAGACGCGAAGCAATTCAACTCACTACGATGCTACCGACCGTGTGCCGTATAGGTCTGAGGCGAGCAGCAGGAAAACAAGCCGTGTTACGCAGGAAAACAGTCGCAATGAAGGTAGGGCACGCAATGAAGACAGGGCCCCGAACGTTGATAGGGCACGCGATGAAGGTAGGGATCGGAACGAAGGCAGGACCCCGAACGTTGATAAGGGGCGCAGAGAAGATAGGACTCGAAGCAAAGGTGCCGGTCGGAACAAGCACGCGATCAGGGTCGCGTCAAGGAAAGGAAGAAGCAGCGCAGCTACTGGAGTATGGCAAGGAGACAGGCCGGGGGCGGAGGGATGGTCACGTGGGCGCAAGTCTGGGCGAGGCAGTTCGGTCACCAGAGGCAACATGAACCGGACGTCTTCGTTGACCGGCCTTTCGTCATTGCATAGTTCTGAAGAAGCTGTCGCTCGAGAGTATTTTCTTGGTCCTCGAGCCGTTGGTAGACGCAGAGATTCGAGGATTGTGTTGTCAACAAGCTTCGGACAGGCTATTACTGAGTGCGTGTGGAAGAAGTTGAATGCGGATGAGGACCTGTGCTGCAATTCGCATGCTGTGAAGGTGCAGGTCCGGGAGCCTTTAGACCACATTCGGAATAAAGGGGACCACGGTTCCGAACGTTCAGGTAAGATTCAGATCCGTAAACGCAGACTGGGTAGACATCAAACGAAAGCGTCGGTTACCAGAGCGGTAATATGTTTCCCGAGCTAATTTTTTTGGTGTTGATGATGAATTGAAGGCCGGCTGGGGAATTGAAGGCCGGCTGGGGAATTGAAGGCCGGCTGGGGAATCGATGGCCGGCTGGGGAATTGAA